GACACGTGAATTATTTGAAAAGTGCCAATGGTTGTGTCCATATATTTCAGCTGCTTTAAAGCGAAGTTACTGAAATTCGAAGCATAAGGATGATAGCATATCAAATAAATAAACTGAATCAAGATTCTGTTCACCTATTTTCCTGGGGCTCCAAAACTAAGATGTCAGTGTTATCTGTTGACTCAAGATCGTATGGAAAATGAATGATCATAACGGCACTTGTGGCACTTTGAGCAAATGTTCCATTACGGAATTTCGTGGGTTGAGAAACAAATTGTTGAAACTTGCGAAAGAGTTTAAGATTACACGGCAGACGAATGATGCTCAGGACGATGGAATTCATTTACCAGATGTTTTTATTAAGAGAGTTCTAAAGTTCTACTGCAGATCATAGCTGACAGAGAAAGCGAATGAGTAAGACGACCTTTAACATTCGGTTCAATAATTTATCTCATTGTGAATATAAAACCTGATACGACTAACTATGAACGAATCATTCAATATGTGGCTACTCATGACAAAGGTTGCATTCATCTACGGCATTTGATCTGGAGTTACCATTTCAAAATATTTTGCTGATCAACGATCACTGGATAAGTAAAAAATTCAGAGGAAGTGCCTTGCACGTGCCAGGTTCAGCAAACTCCGATGAACCTAAATGAAAATACATGGCTATTACACAACCTCAGTGAAAATTGGGAGCATAACGTATCCAGATATTTTCAACACTTAATATGTCTCACTAATGGGCAAAAGTATCGATTGTTGGGAAAATATTTCCCATTTAATAAAAAAATACAACGAAAGAATATAAACATATGACTGTCATTTCTTGTTCTTCTATATACATCTCAATTTCAGGAAATTCTATTTTCTTAGATCAAATAACTGATTTTTTATCTGTTTTGAAACTTTTGATGATGGAACGGTTAAATCGCGTGTTCACACAGAACTATTTCAAGGTTATGTAAGATATTATTCAACATCGGTATACAATCCATGCAAGACATTTAAGAAAACGAAGGCTTCAAAGCAGTTAAAATAATTCAAGAGACTGAAGAAAATAAAAAAAAATGATAAAAACTAAGGATCAAAAGAATTCCCAGTATCCCAGATATGTATTGACAACGGAGAATTTTGAAAATGGAAATAAAGATGAAGAGAAGTATATTATTAACCGTCACGATAGAACTGGATGAATAGAAATGACATTCGGAAAAATAATCAATTAAAGTATTTGTAACAAGCTCGTGTGATGCTCGTTATAAAAATATTCTTAACCTCCAATTAATATAGTCAATAAGCCAGAATTGGCGACTAATAAGAGTAGTCGTTTTACTCCAAAGAGATATTTTTGAAGTCATTTGAATTTTTTAGGCTTATCTCCTATAAATATCACAATTGAGATATCGCATATCGCAAGATTCTTCAGTGCTGTACGGTGTTCAGCGTACACGCAACAGTACTCCTAACGACTTGTTGTAAAAAGTATCCGAAAGTGATGCACGAAATAAAGTTTAGATGGCACACTGAATCACATAAAAATATGGGAGGCAGCTAGTCGTTCAAGGAGGAGTCGGTATGTTCTGTGGATGGAATAGTACTCCACCATGATGATCACGGTTCACATGAGACGAACAAGAATAACCCGTCAAAGAATAGTGCTTGAATTATAGAATTTAGTGTCATTTTTCGCCAAATAATACTGCCCTATTCAATGGAGCATACCTGACTTTGATGCAGCTTGAGGTTTTGATGGTGTGGATTGATATGGTGCGATCGTATTCTTCGGAACAGTAGCAGTACTGGCAGTAGCTTGATTTGGATAATCAAAATCTAAATGAACACAAACAGTTCCATCACTAAGTGTATGTGCTCGAGCTAGTAATTATTTGAGTCTTTCAGTTTCCTTTTTGCGATGGGCCGCTTGTAAATAGAGTATGGATCACGAAAACAGGTTAACTTAACTCCAACACCAATACTAGGATTTGGAACGCGTATCAGAAACAAATCAAGCTTCACAGCAAATGCTATGATCTATTCTAGATATTCCCTAGACTGAAAGAACCAGGCTTAGAAACTGAAATTCACCTGTGTCTCTCTGTCTGAAACACATGGTATAAATGAGGGTGTGAGTGTATTGGTCTTCGTTACGCGCACCCACATCCTAAAAAGAAAATAAATTTAGGCACAATGCCAAATGAATATCAACTCGTTCAGGATATTAAAGTGATTCTTTTGTATACGACTATATGATATCTCTGGAATACTACTATTCTCTGATTAAAACAAAACTTCATATTAGTGAATTTTTTGAATAACAAGTTTCAGTGTTGTCTATTGTTGAGATATTATAGAGATTTACATTTTTACATGTGTTATCCATCTATGTTGAAAATAACCGAAAGAAGAAAAATAAAGTTTGGAGTACGAATATTCTGCATACTATGAGCTAATTAGTTTTTTCGTCTTAATATTGTCTTGAGTATTTCCTTTCAACCAAGCGCTTCAGTTATATCCATCTTTACTCGCGAATTCATGAAAAGTGAACATAATATTTTATACATTGTTTTCAATATCTTGAATTAGTAATATCGCGTATATTAGTATAATATTGAAGAAAAAAAAACTAATTTTGAGTAGTTAATATGCAGAGTACACATTAGCTTTAAAAAATGACTGATATTGAGAGCTATGTGTTAGTTTAAATTAATACGATATTTATAAGACATTTTTGTGTAGGAATATTCATAGCGCTCCGAGATGACCTCAAACACAAAATCTTAGTCAACATTATCTTCCTACTTTCATTTGATGGATCGTTGATTTTCATGGTGGAAATCTAAAATAATGAGAACTTTGATAAAAATCAATTTTCTTTGTAGAATGATTATTGTTGATCTGACCTTCTTCGTAACGGTACTAGTTGATACTGAAGCTGTGTCTTTCTATAGATAAACACGAAGGTCGGTATAGAAAGGAAAAACAACGAAAAAAAAAGAAATTCTTTGAATTATTACTGAAGATTTAGTGTTTGTTGTCTTTTGATCTTCTTTTGTTGAACCAACTGCACTTGTTGACGAAGCAACTACAATACAAAATAAAAATCGTTTAACTACATCAATGTGTTTGGTGTACAGATATGAAATATTTTCTTCCTCTCTGTCTTCATAAAAATTGTTTTTTTTTGTCACCACACTGGGATACGACATGAAAATAGTGTATAGAAAAAAATCCATTCCTTTCATTTGACTACGAGTCTCATCATTGAATAAAATCGCTCCAACTCTCTAGAAAATTCAGTCTACAAACAATCGATTGATCACTGGATGATTACATTCGATTAAGCATATTTCAAACTATCGAATAATTCCATACGCACATAATTAAAACCTTTCGGATTTCCTATATGATCACTCTTTCGAGACGACGGTTTCTTTTTGTCTGCTGTACCAAAACTAATCAAATAATTATGATTAGATGAAAGTTATTATCGATTTGTTTTTGCTTATAAGAACGATTATAATTTTGAATGTCCTTGACTCGTTTGATCGATAAATCGATCACAAATTATTGAGAAAAAATGAGTAGGGCTCATATTCTGATACATACACTCGGTACAAATGAAAAGAACATCCCATATTTACAATCTTAATCGAAAAATACTTTCATCCATGATCTATCTTTCAATTTTCCTTTGTTATTTTGTTATTATTATAGTGTTATCTATCGAAACAAAACGAATAAATATTAATTATTGGATTATCGAAATTCAAAGATATTTCTCTGTTAAGAGTCGGAGTGCTAATGATTGAACTAAGAATTTCAAAAGAGAAATCTAATTTAAAGTAGCTAAAAAAGTCGTCAAAATCATCTTGTTAATCCATGAGAGCGCCTGGCTTCATTTTGAATTCTGTCTGAGGAAAACACAAAGAATTTATATATTGAAGCTCTGCCCTCTCACTTATATACATAGATATTAAAGTTGAGTGCTTCTGACTTATTGTAAATCTCTAATTAGATTGCAACATAAAAGCTTGGAAATATTAATAGGTTCTTATTGTTAAACAAAATCAACATTAATAAATGAGATGATTTTGTTTTTCATTCAAAATCTCATTATTTTTCATATTGTGCCCAAAAAAATCTTGGTATTAAACGAAAAGCTAGAAATTTAATACATGTTCTCAAGGTTTAGATTATTTTTATGTATATGGAAAATATCTGTCGTAGTCAAGTAGCTATTTATTACTTTTAAATGATAATATACGCTCTTCTGGGCTAATCTAGAAAATACAGTTTTTAATTATTAGAGTTAGTCAATATAACTAATTAGTTATTTAACATATGATAGTCTTCTTTCTTATAATCATGTACGTATGAGGCTTTTATGTTCACAGATATCTAAGTCAATTAGAATTTTTTTATTATCTATTTTTACATGTAGCTCAGCAATCTTTGCTACGTTTCATTTTTATCATCAAGTGAACTTGAAAATAATTTAGAGAGCACAATATCTTGGACGAAAATAAAATACGAACTTCTTTGACAAAACTTGAGCATTTATCAACAAATATGAGATTCAGATTTGCAAGATAAAAAAGTTTTTCAATATATTTTGTCTAATTGACAGAGCTTAATTGGGTTGGTTTTCTTTCATTTGGAAAATGAATATATAGGAAACGACATGCAATAAGTAAGAATATTAATTGAACCAGTGAAATGAATTGAATAAGGCTCTTGTCGAAAATAAAAAAAATTTCAAGGTTTTCTATTGTTATGTAGAAGGCATCAAAGCTTTGATATCGTCAAACTCTTTTAAAATGGTACTAGGTAGTTGTGCAAGAATTCAACATGGTAATATTATTAAATTTGAAATAATCCGTTATGTTCTCTGTCAAGACAGTATATGGACCCGATTCGACTGCTTTTAGAAGATTAAAAGAAAATATGCTTTTTGTTTAGTCTTCGCATCGATTAAATAGTCTGATACATCTATCTTACTTTTTTTCTTTATCATTAGTACACTTATTAGAACTTGGAAATTTTAAAGTCATTATATACACACATATTTCATAGAGAAGGGTTATTTCACTAAGACAAATTATAAATAACTTACTTGAACTACCACTCGTAGCTCCTGCTGATGATTGATTATTATTCTCACCGAGTTCAATTAAATGAACGACATACGAACCGTTCGATTGATCTAACGGGTCGCCCTTGACACGAAACCGTGAACCCATTCGTAAAATTATTTCGTTTTCACCTTCGTATTCTGTATATCCTGAAACTTTCTTCCCATTAACAGTTTCGATTAAGAACATAGTTGAGTTCTTATCAGTGCCAAGAAACTGTTTAATCACGTTTACGTTTGACGAACACGAATTAACGCTCCACCACGTTACTATTTGATTGTCAGTGAAATTTTTTCCAATATCTAGAGGTACACCTCGCCATACTACCTCTTTGACAGTAGGTAACTTGTCTAATGCTGTATCAAATAATTTTAAATATGGGAACCATATTTTTAATTCTGGGACTTGCCTATTTTCTGATCGCAATGCTTTATTTAGTACGCGATATAATGTCGTTTCACCCCATTCCATTGTATAAATGTATATCGCAGCTGATTCATCATGCGATAGTCCATGTTCAGATGGGAAATGGCAGTAATCTTTAGCAACCTTTATGAAACGAGAGAGTTCCTTAATTTTGGATTCAATAGGTTTCAGTGCTTTTTCAATCGAAACAAGTTCTTCAGCATGATAACCATAAATAGGTGGAAGTCTTTTGAACGAAACATCAATATCGCCAAAACGATTCATTGCGTTCGCGATTCAAATTATGTTAAATATTAATAAAAATTGGCTAATGACCAATTTAAATTGACCCGTAGAAGTATTTTCGGCTCGTTTTTGATTCTATAATATATTATAGAAAAGCTATAAGTGCAACTCATGCAGTATTTTAACGCGAAACATATTGTTAGTTGTTTTTGCTAGTCAATAAGGGTGGCAGGTATGTGTTGAGGGTAAGGATGAGGGTCTAGGTGTATGGGTGAGCAAGTTCAGGTTTGATTATGTTGGTGCGTTTTGAAGTACATGTTCTTGTAGGAATAAGGTTACACGCGCCGATTATTGTACCCGTGGGGGAAGTGTCCTTGATATTATGGCTTCCAGTACATAAATATTTCCTATGTATGTCAAAAAGTGTCCTTTTTGGCTGTGATTTGCTGCAACTGGTACGTCTCTAGAAGGGTTTAGCTGTCATTGTGACAGATATTTCTATCTATCGAAGTTTTCGGAGAATATTTCTACAAATTACTTTTTTGTTTTGTGGTGTATATCGCTACGTCCCTAATCCTAATTAATAGATGGAAGTGTCAAATATATACATCACATGTAGTTGAATCCGGGGAAATGGACAGTCGCGCGCGGATATTTGCTCGCTAGAATAGTTGGTCAGTAGGACAGATGCTCGCGGTGTACACTTTAGTAGAATTATGAATACATCAATCAGATAACAAAAATACAATAGATTAATCTCGCGTAGAAGAAAAAATCATCATCATAAAGTAATTAATCTGATTTTTCCAAGGGTGGGTGTGGCCGTGGGTGTGAGTGCAGATGTGGATGGGAATGCAGTGCGGATCTCGGTGATGGTGTTGTTGAACACAGCAGAAACAATACTCACACACATCCCTAGGGGTTTTACAAACCCAAAGCCTTGCGATTTGGCGCAGAAATATTTGGATTTAATTCAGACTTGGATTTTCATTCGGGTTTGAGTTTCGCCTGAAAGTACCCAAATCCGATCAGCTTCCATAAGATAAAGTATCATAAGACAGAAAAAAATCGCAAGTCTTCACAATTGATATGAAATGGTTTGGATTTGATATAGATTTGGGTGTGGGTGTGGGTGTGGATGTGGGTGTGGGTATGGGTGTGGGTGTGGGTGTGGGTGTGGGGGGTTCCGGAATTTCGCCAATAAGATTTTCGCCAATAAGATTTTCGCCAATAAGACTTTCGCCATTGGCGAAAGTCCACTGTACTTTCGCCAATACATACCTTGGAATTTCGCCAGTTGGCG